AATGATCAAAATCGTTTAAAATATACATTTCAAATGTAAGTTAAAATAATATTAGAATTTCTTTACAAAAAATAATAAAATAATAACATTTAGTTTATAGAAAAAGATTTGTAGTTTTCTTCTAATTTTGAAATAAAAATAGATTTGTAGTTTCTCAATTTTCGAATCCAGTGACTTTCTTTAGAATTCTTATTTTAAATATTATAAATGTTGTAATTGAACACCCAAAACGAAGCATTTAAACTATAAGTTGACATATAGTTTTCATTTTTATTCGTTTGATAACTTGTACGAAAACTAAGCTTTCACTATTTGATGTTACATTTAATTGTCTAACAATTAAAAATCCACCAAGGACATCAATCAGATTTAAGAATCGTTAATATTTTTCTATTTTAGATCTCAATATTTATTCTTTCAAATTTAGTTTACAACTTTATTTTTATGAGAATTTTCAATTTAAAAATTATATTGTTAAACTCCCGTAAGGTCATTTGCGGATTTTTATTTGAGGAAAAATTGTTGTCATGAATCTTTTTCCTTGTTGGATCTTTATATGGAATTGTTGGAATTGTATTTGCTTACGTAAAGTGGATATCTTTTTTAAAAAAATTACAAAAATTATTATAAAAATATATATTTGTAATTATTAAACTTATTCATTCTCACCGTTTTCTTTCATATTTGGAAGATTTAAACTATTATTTAAAAAGTGTGTCAATCAATTTAAAAGTTTCATTAATAGATCATACGCTATTGTTTTGATCTCATCCAGTGATATAGAAAATAAAAATAATGAATATTTCGGACAATAAAATAATGGATCAATACTATATTTTTTTTCTTACATCGGATCCATGTTACATCTCACAATTTATAGATATATGTTTCTACAACATCATCATAATAGGTTACTTCTTGCTTATATTAATGAGTAACATAACTAATATGAATGTTTCTTAACTTTAATTATATATGTATGTGTTTCGATAAATAATTTCTTCTTTTATCTTTTCATCCTCTAAATATAACACATTTCAAACATTCAAACAATATAATTTCCTATCTTACAATATTATCATCCTTGAGTACATTAAAATAATTA